AAAATTTAATGTGGTCAACAACTGAACTTTTCCGTTCTTATATCTGGGCTCAGGCAAGATTTGCATAACCTAAGACACATCTTCCTGCTTCTGCAAAACACATGCAGGATAAAAGGTGGTTCTCTTCCCAAACTAGTTTTAAGGCTCATTTTTATTCCATAAAATAATTTTAGGATGTTCTGGGTAACGTCTTTATGTATGTGTGCACAATTCAATATATACCAGCCCATAAGAAAAGGAACTGACATACAACAAGCCTAGGGTTGACTAATAAACACAACTCAATTAATAATTAATTAGCTTTGAAGAAGCTAATAAAATTCATTAGCAATTAAAAGACTTTCAAATTACATTGACTTCTGGTTATTACTCACTCAAGTCTTTTGCGAAGAACACGTGCAGAGGGGAGGAATTATTTCATTTGAGAACTGGGATTTATGACCTGTGTTTTCTGCTTTTCAGAGCACCCTTATAGACCGATTTGGGAGGAAGGTGTTGCTTTGGGGAGGATACACGCTGATGTGTTCTGTGCTAGCGCTCCTTACCATGACCCTGTCACTGCAGGTAAAGAGGCAGCAGCCTTCTGGCTACTTAACCAGCACCAGCCCACCTTTCGGGTCTTGCCTCACAGGATATGTACAAAAACTTGAGTCAGTGGCAGAAAATACAGAGCTCTGCTATTCTGTCATGTATCTAATGGCTTGATATCACTGGTTTTTCACTTTCAGCACCAGTTTTTCTGGATGCACTACTTCAGTGTTGTCTTGATCTTCCTATTTGTCGTCTTCTATGGAATGGGACCATGTGAGTACATCAGTGGCAATGCTGGGATGAAATTTTGTATCATAGTGGTTGGTGACAGGACTGGCAGAGGAAGAACAGTCTAGTCCCATTGTAGAAAGTTCTAGAAATTAAGGAGGGAAGGGGAGATACGTACAAGTGGGAGAAAATAAAAGGATACAGACTATTGCTGATCACAGGATCTAAATTACAGAGTCATAGAATCATAGGATGTTAGGGGCTGGAAGGGAGATCTAGTCCAACCCGCCTCTCCGAGCAGGATCCCCTAGGGCAGCAACGCATCTAGGCGGGTTTGAATGTCTCCAGAAAAGGAGACTCCACACCCTCTCCGGGCGGCCTGTGCCAGGGCTCCGTCACCCTCACAGTAAAGAACTTTCTCCTTAAGTTGAGGTGGAACTTCCTACGTTCTAGCTTATACCCATTATTCCTTGTTCTGTTACTGGGCATCACTTTTTAAAAGACAGTATCATCTTCTCCGGAGTGTTTGCAACAGATATTTCAGACCAGTTTTTAAAACACTCAGCTAAAACAAGGATTCTAGACATTGATATGTACATCACAGTAATCATACCCTTCATCAACTTGGAAAGTTAAGCTTTTTGTCTACCAACATATTTCAGGCAGAATTGACTACAGGAGCCAAAAGGGGAGCATTGTGCCCCTAAAGGGGACTACAGGAGCACTAATAATGGCTACCAGTGCATTGTGGAACTGCACAGATCCACTGGCACCCGAAAGAGGATTCCAGTAGGTATGAGAGAGACCTAAATTAACAGGTGAAGTCCAAAATTAACAGCTGTAGTCCCCTCCTGGAATCAAGATCTTTCATGCACATAGCAGAGGCCACCTGCGAGCAGGTCACCTATTCTGCCTGTTTGCCATCTTACCCTACTGCCATTGCAAGGATCTTCAGCAGAAGAAAGGTGCGCTGAGGAACTAAGGAACATGTGTACCTGGCTTGTGTTTCGTTTTTCTTTTTCAGCTGGAGCCACCATAACTGTCATGGTTGAAATCTTTAGCCAATCGTTCAGACCATCAGCCTTTCTGATCGTTGGCTGCATCAACTGGATGGGGTTATTTGTACTTGGGATGGTTTTTCCGCTGATTGTTGTAAGTGACTCTAACTGGAATCCTTCCCTCCAGGTTATTCCACTTCCCAATGCTGACAGGGAGCAAAATAATAGCAATAAATTGCAATTACATGGAAAGCTTACAGCTCTGTCCAAATATCAAACCTGCTCAGGAATTGCCCAGGACTATCATAGCAGCAGCAATTGGACTCAGGTTAAACATGGCCAGTGGACGCTCCTGGTTTGATACTCGTCCTGGTTTGTGTATAGGGCACACTTTTGAATTTTAGTTACTAAGACACAGACTTGCACCCAAGTGTAGAGAAACACAAATTCCATTCTTATTTTCCTTACAGTGTCTCCCATTTCTGCTTGCAGGATAATCTTGGACCCTTCTGCTTCCTTATCTTTCTGGGAATCCTTGCTTCATCAGCAATTTTTGTCTACCTGTATCTCCCTGAGACCAAGGGAAAGTCAATCATGGAAATAAAATCAGAATTCAACATGCTGAATTTTGGGAAGAAAGAAACCCCAGTCACTGAAAATAACTTTCCTAAGGAACAGTTGTTCTGCACCAAGCTCTGAATGTCCAGAGGAGAAATTTGCATCTCTTAGAAAAGACAAGAAACAATTTTGCAACAGAACTAAACAGGAAACATTAAAAACAGACTGCAAACTCTACTGTCTCTTTTTCCTTTTTTCTTTTTTTTTTCTTAAATTTAGATATGAAATTCATTATACCAGTTTTATTTCTTGCTGTTATCTAAATATTTCACAGGAAATGTCATAACTCAGTTTTAAGATCTACTGGATATGAGATTTTTTTTAAAAAAAACAACCTTTTATGCTAGCCTACCTACTGAAATTTTAAAACATTTTGTTAACAGTCCATAGAGCCCAAATCCTTCCAGAGGAGGTTACATACAGGCTCTGTTCACAGCCCTGGACCCACAACCCTGGGCCTCTTGTTGGTCTCTCTTGTTCCCAGGAGTCCTCTCCAATGTCACAAGTACCTGAGTGGTTTGTTATTGACCTTTTCTAAACGAAGCCTCACTAGCTTTAAGCACCTCAGGATCAGGAAACTGCTGACAAATAGTTCAGGGGGAAGTATCAGAAATATGAAAGAACAAGTAAAATAATTTAAGATGACAAACGAAGAGAAGGAAGGATGAAGAAGGCTAAACGATCATCAGTCATAAAGCTGGGGAAACACAGACTAGCAAGCTAATGGAGAAAAAGCTAGGTACGTTGTTAGGGTTATGCAAGCAGATACGCATTCAAAACTTAGCACAGTAAATTAGGAAAAACGGTTCCAGCCATGGTAACAGCAAAAATTATCGGAAGTGAAATTGTACTGTGCAACAGACCTTCTGGAGATGTAATGGAAATCTCAGTGGGGAACGTCTTAATAACTCTAGGCAGGGAGAAGGGTCGGTCAAACAGATAGTATTCTAATGCAAAAAAAGTAAAATGGCTCCTATAAAACAAAGCTCCCAAGAGCATCAGTGGTGTCTAAGGATCTGATTTCAAACCTGGTACATCAGCTTCTGGGAATTACATCAGATGTTTTCAGAGAAGAAAGAGTTTATTTTGGAAATGTTTTTCTTGTTATGTAAGCAAGCTGCGAATAACGAGTGATTATTGTACCCAGCAGAAAAAATAGGTTGTGAAGTTCATTGGAAATACAGTCTATGTTTCACCAAGTGACCACCAACAAGTATAGTACAATTTGTGACTAAATGGTTTGGATCATGCCACTTGCTTCCAACTTATCACTGAAGGAAAAATTCATCAATATTACAAACAACAGTTCCCCTCCTTACACATGGAGCAGTCACTTGAACTTGTTTTTAACATTTTGACACAGGAAATATGCCCTGAAAATTCTATTTCTACAAACAGATTTTATTTCTGGATTTTCATTACTTTCAGAATGCTTCAGATACAGGAGACTCAATCCACTCACATGGGCTGTAGATGAACATGGGCACATAGTAATTCAACTCCCGACTTTTTATTTGCTGGCTTTTTACAGTGCTATAGGGAAGGAAAAAAATCAACATATGCCACCAAGTTAAGCATATTCATATGGAGGTTATGATCATTTAAAAAGTATTTGCTTAAATTACGCTGTTGCAATATAAGCAAGCTACGGAAAGCTCTCATTTTCTGCAGGCTGGGAGTGAAGTTTATAGAAAAACCTTTAAATCACAAACACTACAGGGCATAAACACACCCATTATTTCCTTTAACATGGAAAGATTAACAAAACATTTATTTTAAACTCATCACCATTTTCAGCCTGCTTTCCCCATATGCGTCTCACTGCAAACACTCCCTATCAAATGCCAGATGACCCCTCTAAATCACTTCTCTCATTTAACACTCTGCAAGGGCAGCAAAGAGAACAGATCCCAGCTCTGTCACATACTCCACTACGGATAAAACACTCTCATTTTAGAAATTCTGTGGTTTTCCTATTTCTCTGCAGATCCTGTTGACTTTACGGGACTATTTGCACAACAAAGAAGCGAGTTGAAAACAAGCCTACTCTGAGTATGTAGAATCCGGTGCTCACCACAGTGGAAAATCAAGACCGATTTTAAGGCATCTTTGTCATGACTTAGTCACAGTTCAGGGAAGGTCTTCACAACATATGCCACTGGGGTTTTTCTGTTATGGTCTATTCTACAGAAAGAGTCACAGACTTCACAACTGAGGCATCTATCTAATTTAAATTTTTTATAATTATGAGACTTGCATAAAAAGGCACAATATAACTCACCCACTCTCTAACAGTCCCTGAAATAATGGCTTTTTCACTGGTTTTCACGAGGCTGTATCCAAATACGAAGTGTGATTTTGGATGTTTTGATTTCCAGAGCATTTTTTTCCCTGCTGAAAGCTGTCCCTTGACACCTGCCTGAACAGCCTGCAGAGGGCACAGGCAGCCTCGCCTCTCCCGAGGCACCCACACCCCTTCAGCTGCACCTGAGGAAGGTACCACAGACTATTTGAAGGCTCCTGAGGTGCTTACAAGCACGGTGGGGTAGAAGTTATCTTGCAGGTGAATTAGAAACAAAGCCGTGAACAAGGTGAGCTGAAAGAAAACCCTCTTGTAATCCAAAAATGCCTAAGTTTATTGTTAACACAAATATAAGCAAGGATAAGTTCCACAGTCTTTCACAGAGGAGCTCACTCAGCAGTTACCAAAAGCAATGGGCAAACCAGCACATGTAAGTCCAGATGCTCAGATGTTCTCTTTATTCAGTCAGCTGTGCCTATGCAATGAATTATTTCTCAGAAACAATCTCTAGTACTTAGAGTCTTTTCTCTGTCCAAATGTCAAATACTTGTTTGCTATGACTTAGCTCTGATGAGGTCTTAAACCACTTAAAGTATTTAAACTGGCTTTGTATATGATGGTATTCCATACAGGTAAAGGCACTGGAGGCGTGTGGGTATGTATACACAGCTATTGCCGTGAATGCCTCTCAAGAATCTAGCTGACTGAAAGCAAGCCTTACCCTCTAATTTCCTTGCAGAGTCCTGCGAATATGTATTTGTTATCTGCCAGCAAATAGTCTGTAGCCTAGTGGCTACAGCTGGAAAAAAAAAAAAAAAAGGTGTTCAGCTTGCTTGGGCATCTAGCAAAAATACCCATGTGACATCCTGCTACTTGCAGTCAAAACACCGGAGTAAAATCTGTCTGCTGGTTTCATTACCAAACTGAGGGATATTCACCTGCCAAAACCTATGCCGACATGCTACTGAGGTGAAGTACTGAAATACTGTCATTAAAGATCTTACAAGGTTTTATAAGGCTTTTACTTTCTTAATTAATCCTAGAAGCTCACTAGTCACTGTATCAGTTTACTGAAGACTATTGATGAATATGAAAAGCAAAGTGAAAGCCTCTCTATAGAACTGTTAAATTTTATAACATGAGCTACTTCTCAGTTGCTGTAGCAGCAATAACTTAAGTGAACTGGCTATAGATCTTCAGCAGCTTGATGAAGTACCCTCTCCATGTATTCACCAGCAGAAGAGCATTTCAGAAACTGTTTCTTATTTTACTTTGGGAGTGATGCTTTGAAACCCTAGAAACAATGAAGTTCTGGTGCGTACAGAAAGGATTCTGAGGGCTCTCCAGCAAACCTTTCTCTGCCCAATGGCACACGCAAAGCTCATAAGAAGATCCTCATTCTTCCTGGAAACAAAGTGCCCTGGGATGGCGGTCACCACAGAGTACTTAAGAAAGCAACAGAGATCTCTCAAGTCCTTAGCGATAGTTTGATAACTGCCATGGGTGGAAATGTCCTGAGAAGGGAAGAAGGGAGAAAAATGGTCTCAAAATAAAAAACCAAATGGGATAACTGAAAATATTAGAACAAACTTTTTAATGTCTTAAAAACGGGAAGAAGAAAATTCTGAGCAGCTGGCATGATTTTGTTAAAATCTGGAACATTTTCAACAGTCCCACAGCAGTAGGACTTATGCTTGGATCTCATCAATACTTCCAGTAATGACTCAGTAGATTGAGAAGTACATATGACAATAGCTTGTATGCACAGGAGACAGTAAGAATTCAAGAAGACAGTAAGAGATATCTTCTTAAGTCAAGAAGCTTTCTTTCAATAGCTGATTAATAAGTCAAACTGCAGAAAAGACAAACAATAACTCATTGAAAAATAAAAGATTTGGGGAGCTATTATAGGTTACAACGTGAATAAGGGACGAGGCAATGCTTGGGAGCACTTCTGTTGTGCACAAGGTAGAAGTAAGCCTCAGTAGAGTACTCCATCCAGCCTCAGGCCCTTTACCCTGAGAAAGAGGTAGTCACATTAGAGATGCACCAAAGGAAAAACACTGAAGAAATAAGTGACTATAAAGATCAACAGGCATTCTGGCTCTTCTAGGAGAGAAGGCTGAAGAGGAAAGCTATTATGGAAGAGATGGGAATATATTTTGCTTTTTTCCTTCTTCAGCAGAGTAAGGCAGCTTAACTTACAGCAAGATTTCAGTTAGTTCTTGGAGATAAATTTTAAAAACTTCCTGTGACTTACAGTCAGATTCTGTGTTGGATTTGCACCATAGGTCCCACCAGTGGTGGGATGGTTAATGGTACTGACATTTCTTTGACCAGTTAGAAATTCTCAGTTCAACACTGCTAATTGGAATATTTCTATTTGTTGCTGTATGGCTGTAGCCTTTCAAAGACAGCTATATGTGGTTTGATGTTCTCATCAAATTGATTTGATATAGTGTTAAAAAGCCAATCGACCTGGAGAAACCTGGTTGTACTGTGTCTCCTCCAGGCAGATTGTTTGATGTCCGATAAAAGGGCCCCTCTTTCTCTAGGGACAGTAATGGCTGCAACTAACCAGTCTCATTAAACATGTAGGAGATCAATTTCTGCCAAGTTTGACCAAAGTTAGTTATCTCATGGAACAGTTAGACGCATGTTTTAGGCTTGTATAAGCCTTGTCTCTATAGAAAGTAGACTTAACTGTAAATGGGAGTAACGTATTTATTTTTCTCCCAACACATACAATAATATAATGACACTCTTATGTAAAACTGATGTGTTCTATCCCGCTTCAGAAAACATTTTTTATCAGTCTAGCAATCAAGTACTTGCTGTTGGGGGGGTGAGGGGGTGTCAGCTGGTGGTTCTTGCATAACAGCTCCTGAATATAAAGCTAGGGGCCCGGGCTGGGATGCAGCTGGAACAGGTTTGTGCAGCCGTGTGGAAGGGATATGTAATGGGACTTAAAAATATACAGAGAACAACAAAGAGATTTTTTCAAAGAAGACATGCAAGCTCTTCGTGACAAAGGAGGCAATAGGAAAAGGATAGTCTCTTAGTTATAACACAGAAAGAAGGAAAATATTAGGGTGGGCTGGAATGCAGATCTTTCCTCTTACAGGAAATGGTACCATTTGAAAAAAAAATTACTGATTTTTAATCAAATAGTTTGGGTCTTTTTCTTCTGGAAAAACTGTTTCAAACATTTTCAAACTGCTCTAAGAAGAAAATAATGCTGATTAACGCTTTAGAGCTTGCTTAATATTTTTAAAAAATAATAATCTGCTTTCGGGGTAGATGTTAAAGGCATATGTGTATCTACATTTGTCATAAAGTTGAGAGCACAGGGTGTCCAGCCAGGGAAGAGCAGGGCCAAGCAAGTGGTAGTTCAGCGGGATCTCCTTGGCTTATCCTGTACTGCTGTGGTCTGATGCACCCTGCACCCAAACAAGCTTTAAGTGATGGCCAAGACTAATTACCCAGACAACTCCTGGTACTCAGGCTAACTTGTTTTACCAAGAGGGTTAATTGCTGCTGAGTTCCAATGATGCGCTGCTAATAAACGTGGGTAAGAACAGAACAGAAGCCAGATGGATGCCAGAGGAACTGATCCCTGGATTCCCCAGTGTGTGGATCTGACACAGTGTATTAGCAGCAGGGAAAATTGCAGGCTGGTCATTAATATTAACATAGATACTTTCTTCTATTTTTCCTGCTATCAAGAACAAAAGTAGGATTAGGCTGTATTTGGTTTAATGAGGGGGATGTTGATTTAGACCTCTGCTGTGTCAGTTCATATTTACCTCAGCGGGGAAGACTGCAGCAGCAGCCAGTGAGGTGCAAAATCTCTCTGGAACGTAGGGCGGCAGCAATGCAATTGTGCACCCCCACTCGCACCCAGCCGTCCCACACAGGCAAGGAGAGCCATGGGGCTCTGAGGAGGTTCTGTAGGTATTGCAGGTCTCCGAGCTCCTGGAGCACCTGAACTTTCTACCCAAAATTCAAGGTTGGAAAAGATGTTACTGCAGGCTCCTCCTCTCAATAGTGTGCCTGGGCTGAGTATCCAGAACCCATCTTTCAGTAGGTAACTGAGCACACTGGGGCTGAAAGTTGCAAGGCAGTGAAAGATCTTTGTTACCGTGCAGCTTAAAAACAAGTTTGCATTTAGTTAAGAATACAGCCATTCTTCAACCGATGAAAGAATCATGATGGCAGTGCCTGTTCCCAAATGGTGTTCATGAAAATATGGCTGTAGTTTGTACCCTTTCACCTATGTGACTTGCAGGAAGATATTCAGGAAGTCTGTAAGTTCAATGAAGTACATGCAGGAGAATTCCAAAAGCGTAACTGATAGGCATGCACCTATTTTCACTGCAGTTTAGGTATACAAATACTGTCCTGGATTTTCAAAACTTCTCCTAAGATGGCACAGGCAAATAATATTCCTTTTTTCTTCCAACAGTACCTAGCAATACAGGTCGCTCCTGACCAGTTGATGTCCTTTGGTGGTTCCACAGACCCCTCTGCTATGTGTTTTCTCTACAGCATTGGCAAAATAGGGAAGCAGGAGAACAAGGTCTACTCCAAATTGCCTTGTGACCTACTAAACAAACAGTTGAAAATACCACCTGACAGGTAAACTCATACAGCACCATGTCTGACATAACTTTCCACTGATTATTAAAGCTATTAATCCTAGACTTGTCCTTTGCTGTATTTCTGTTCATATTCTGCTTGAAGAAGCTAAACATGAAGCCAATAGAGCAACTCTCCAATTAAGAATAGGAGAAGAGCAATTGCATGAGCTGCAATGCCAATGCCCCAAAGCTGTGAAATACTTCATAGTGAAATGATAGAGGCTCAGGAACCGCATGTACCCACAGATCTCACAAGTGCAAAAGCCCAGGTACAGACACAATAACCTGATGTTACTAAACTGATAACCTGAGTAACAGGTACCAACATTTCCAACTGCCTGTGGGGTATAAGTGGAGGTCTATTACAAAGGCTTCCACTTATGTAAAAGCATTTCTAGTCCTTTTTCCTGAAAGTACACAATTTGCTCCAGAAATGACTGTAAATAAAACATAGCATCCTGAGATCCCCTTAAACCAAGAAGCAGAAAAATGCCAGGAACTCCAGAATGCAAGTAGACAAGGTGGGAGGGTGAGTGTGGAATATGTAACACTTGAACATGCCTGCCAAAATTTGCCAAAGGCAATGTGTAACTTGCTGAGATGCAGTGCAGGCCTGAGACGTGTAAAGCCCTGGGGGACAGTCCACAGTGCGGCTCGTGCGTTCTGCTGCAGGAACGCTCTGGCCCAGCCTGCAGTGCTCTTGCTCTCAGCAGCTAACAGTGTCTGTCTTCCCTTTCAGAATCTATGTCAGCTTCTTCAAGACCAGCGCTGGGAAAGTAGGCTGGAACACCACCTTTGCTTGACGTGCCCTCAGGTGGCAGCAGCTTATTCACGAACCCTCCCCATGGTTTTTGAGCACTGCAGATCTAGTAATTTAGGTTGCATTTGGCACGAATTTAAGAGTGAGCAGTGCCTTAGTTGCTCCTATCCCATGCTGTTTTACCCTCATCTGCTGCTTAAATGAAAGTAAAAATTCAAGAGGAGCTTAGTATTGAAGCTCTATTTTTATGCTGGAATGGCCTGTGGCTGAAATGGAAGGTGCTTCCTCAAAATACTCTTAATAGAAGCTTTTATCTTTTTTTAACAGTTACATCTTTTGCATGAAGATGAACACTCCATTTGGATATGTTTTTGCCCTGTTCATGCTCAACAGCCTGGCCAAATTTAAATAGAACTATTTTGACCTGATTTTAAAATACATTTAAATCAATAGATGTGCCTGCTAATGTGGCATACAGACGTTTCTTCAAAAGGAGGAAAGACATGATTGCCTCTTATTTAAAAGGGTTGAATTGTAGTCCATGTTCACCTTGAATCTAACACCACATGAACTGCTGTTTAGCAGAAAAACTTGTGCTATGACAGAATCCCAGGGCTCAGGATAGGCAGACAGAGTAAGTGGAAAAACCCACTGTTCCCTGTTCTGCCCTCCCCTTTTCGTCTACTGAACAATTTGCAGTGACAGTGAAGATTAGAGAACAGCTCAAAATGAGACAGAGGCACAGTGAGCCATTCCCAGAGGCCAAAGTAATGAATTACTTACAAAAGGAAGATTTACATACAAATATTTATTATTCAAGTGCTGAGTCAAATAAGAGCATTTGCTTCTAAAGTAAAACAGAAAGACTGAGTACAGATCTGTTTCCTGAATCTCTGAAATGAGGTGTATAGTGACTTTTTTTCCTTTTTTGGAAGAACAAATACCTCTCACTCCTATTCTGAGCTCTGTTGTAAATATCCCATTTTGTTCCTATCACAGCTTTGCTTTGCAGCCACAGTCCTTAAGTACAAGCCTGCACCTCAACCTGCATAAACAAAAACTGCAACCTGCAAAAGTAAAAGCTGCTTAGTGAATCAAAGCAGCATAGCTGAATAAAGCAACATGCTGCTTGGCTTCTAAATACAGTACATCTTATTAAATATTATCTGCTCCACTTAAAGCCTTGTGGAGCTGCCAGTTGAGGAAGGAAGTCATGGCATGAAGCAGATCTTTTTGGCAGAATTGCTTTTGGCAAATGGCTACAAAGCCCCTAAACACATCAGGACCTTAGATGAGGAGGCAGTTCTCTTCTTGAGAAATCAGTCTGCCTCCTTCATAGAGCCACCTGCTCAAAGAATGCAGCCTCTGCCTGTTATTGTAGCCATAGTACCAGCATTTTCTGATGTTTTCCTGGCTCCTTCTCCCTGGTCCAGTTGTTCTGTGCTCAGGCTGTGACTGTGATGCAGGTAAGTATGTACAACTGCAACTCATGAATGTCGCAGCCCTGGTATTTGCAGTCAGCCTCCAGGAAGGGCTTCAACCTGTCCCACATACCTTCTGAAGCCTGCCTGTGTTAGATGCTTTTAAAGTTGTTCTCAGAGCATCCATGCCCTGAAATCTGTGTTCCTCAGGTACTTGATGGCACAAGTGCACTCAAGACCACCTCTAGTTACTAACTATCCTTACGCTCCCTAATAGGGAATATAAAAGCTGCCTTTGCCTCTATCTCTAGCACATCATTACTATGCTTTTTGGTACATTTCTGTAAAATATTTTACCTTTCAGCTTTTTGCTGCCTTAGGCACATTTCTTTAGTGTACATATTTTAATCACAAGCAATTACATTTTAAAGCAGATGCTGAGCATCTAGAAAATGTGTTATCAATCCATGAGTGTGGAGCAATCACACGAGGGAGAGGTGCATACATACCACGAGTATTTGGTTAACTTCTAAGAATGCATCTTTAGAAGCTGCGAAAATGCTTGCACTGCATCCTCCTTAGTCAAGGGCGCAAAAAAGAACAAAACTGTAGGTATCTTTCCATTGTGTTGCAGCATGACCAGTATCTGCCACTTTGGGCACACAGCTGGTGATGTTGCTCTGAAGTTTTTTTCTCCCTGCACTGCCAGAATTCCTACCCCACCTCCTTGCACCAACTATGGGAGGCAGGAAGGTCGGAAGAGTAAGTGGCACTATGGAATGGCAGGGAGTTGATACTAGATCTTAATAGCACTGCTAATCACTGAAAATATAAGTGCTCTAGTCCTGCCAGTTCTCAGTGTTACAGACTGTGCCATTCCAGAGCGTTCCCATGCAATACCATCCCTTATTCTTTGTTCACGGCAATATGTGTTCACATGTGTAACAGGCATGTAGGGTCAAGCTCTCTAGCAGCAGCAGTGCTGGGACTTTAAAAAAAAATAACACGTGGTCCATTCTTGTGTTTAAAATGTCTGCGTGGAGTGGGCTCTGGACCTGATCCTCTTTAGCCTTCCTATGAGTCATTTCAAGTCACGGCAGTGTAAGAGTCAGGGTGGGGATATGTGTCCTCCGCAGCCTACGTGCAACACATCACACAGCCCAGCACAAGGCTCATCTCTCAGGCTGCCTCTCACCTCTGAATAGACACGCACCATTTCATTTCTAAGCAAAAAGAAAAAATCACTTCTGCCTTCTTCTAGTAGAAAATTATATGAAAGTGACAATACTGAGAAGTAACAGATCACTATTGATTTGACTGAAAAACGTTAGAAATTAACACGCCAGCGAGTCAGATGTTTCATGTTAAAGCTATACACACAGTTAAAACAAAAAACATACAAATGTGCCTTTATTTTGCAAAATTTTTTTTAAAAAAAGAAAAGAACCTTCGGAGCCGGGGCTAGTATCCGTCTTTGAAACTGCCAAGCTGAGGCCTACAGCCCTTTTTTTTGCGGGTCCCAATCCCGCAAAAACCGGTGGGAATGCTACAGTGGCAGTAGTACATGCACTGATACCAGGTTATGTATGAACTGCCCAGCGCGGCAGGACTCGGTTCCAGAGAGGAACCTCCAACATAGCCTCAAAAAATTACCAGTGGTAGTTACAAAGCCAACGAAAAGCGGCGGAAAGGGCGCGGGAGCTCAGTCCGGGACACAGTCGCAGCAGAAACGCCGTAAGCCGCAGCAAGGCCA